TCTTTGCTACAATACTTTGGAATCACCAACAATTAGAACAAAATGGTATTGTAGCTCGAGATTTTCTTAACCCCCCCTTTATGGTGAGAAATTTTATACTTTACTTGCAGTCAGTAGTTTCAATATAATCTGATGAGTGGATAACAATTTTTTCCCATGTAGGATAATGTAATTGTACATTTCAAGAGGGACTGCGAAGACACCAATTTTGTAGAGAGTGTCTTCCATCAAATTGTAATAGGATATGACATCTTCAGTTGCAATTGGGTAAGTTTAATTATGGTTATAATAATGTACGCTTACTTACAAGTATATTACTGTTTAGTTACTTTCATATCTTTGTACAGTTACTGAAATTTTATAATTATTCTAGGTTTTACTCCTTGCCTTTACAAGGAGCATTGGAGCTGTTACACGTTGTACCCTACAAGCAGAACACTATATGTGTTAAATTCCATGAAGATAAACGAAGCAAGCCCAAAGCATCAACTCGACCAGTTCAGGTATCATGTTGTTGGCACCATATTCATAGATTTCACTACACTATCTTCTCCACCATCCGAATGATATGTATGTCTTTTTGCCCAGGCGATGAAATTTCACGAGCTCCTGCAAGAATTTGGCCACAGATCCCCAGAAGACAACCAAGTTAACCTGGAATATGTCAATATCCCTCTGTAATCAAATGGGTGAGTATAGAATTAAATTAATTGGAGCATATAATGTCTTGCCATATTTTTCATGTTTAATATGTGGATGCAATTGTGATTGTGGGGTGTATGTACTAAGATACATGCAGACTTGGGATAATGCACCCATGCCTAAGTATTCTTCCATAAGTGACTGATCACAACAACACTACTATGATAATTTGTACAAGATAGTGCATTCAATTTTAATTTGATACGTTTTCTACAGGCTATGATACAAGAGTTCAAAAAAAATATGTATGTGACTAGGTGTACACCCCAGAAATGAATACCGGGAGAAAGCACTCAAGGATGCTGGGGTCTGGGACAAAGTAGGTTGAGTTGAGCTTCGCATTACCTATCATGGGAAAATAAGGGACTGCAACAATTTTTCATGCTTAATATGTGGATGCAATTGTGATTGTGGAGTGTATGTACTGAGATACATGCAGACTTGGGATAATGCACCCATGCCTAAGTATTCTCCCATAAGTGACTGATCACAACAACATTACTATGATGATTTGTACAAGATAGTGCATTCAATTTTAATCTGATACGTTTTTACAGGCCATGATACGAGAGTTCAGAAAAAATATGTATGTGATTGGGTGTACACCCCAGAAATGAATACCGGGAGAAAGCACTCAAGGATGCTGGGGTCTGGGACAAACAAGGTTGAGTTGAGCTTCGCATTACCTATCATGGAAAAATAAGGGACTGCAACAATTTCTAGTGGACATGCAACATGAAGAATTTTTAATGCCTTGCAATTTTTTTGTATAATTACTCATAGGACATAGATGCATGAAAACAATAACTAATTGCTGGTTAAGCTTATACATACTTTATAGATCCAAGAAAACAATTGTACAGATATTCATTATTGGTCATTGTACAGATCTATATTTCTCGCATTCTTTTTCAAGCATATAATTGAATACAATAAGAGAGTTATGCTTCGAACTGAATGGAGATGTGCGTGTAACGGAATGGATCTTTACATGTAACTATACAAGTCTTTGGTTGTAACAGAATATTAGATTTTCACTTCCGATAAAATTACTGAATAGCCCTTATATGTTGCTTGTAAGTAAATGTGGCTATGTTTTTAACTGAACGCATCTTTGCTTGTAACTACACAGGTCTCTGCTTGTAATTGAATAAGCCTTTACTTGTAACTATGAAGGTTCCTGTTTAAAACTATACAACCTCTGCTTGTAACTGAACGAGTCTTTACTTGTAACTATACAGCTCTCTGCTTGTAACTGAACAAGTATATGCTTGTAACTGTAAAAAATTCTACTTGCAACTATACAGGTCTATGCCCGTAACTGAATGAGTTTTGCATGTAATTGTATTGGTTCCTGTTTGAAACTATACAATCTCTGCTTGTAACTGAACGAGTCTTTGCTTGTAATTATACAGCTCTCTGCTTGTAACTAAACAAGTATATGCTTGTAATTGTAAAAAAATCTGCTTACAACTATACAGGTCTCTGCCCGTAATTGAACGAGTCTTTGTTTGTAACTATACAACTCTCTGCTTGTAACTGAACAAGTATATGCTTGTAACTGTAAAAAACTCTACTTGCAATTATACAGGTTTTCTATTCGTAACTGAACGAGTTTTGCATGTTACTGTACTGGTTCATGTTTGAAACTATACAATCTCTGCTTGTAATTGAACAAGTCTTTGCTTGTAACTATACAGCTCTCTGCTTGTAACTGAACAAGTATATGCTTGTAACTGTAAAAAACTCTGCTTGCAACTATACAAGTCTTTGCCCGTAACTGAGCAAGTTTTGCATGTAACTGTATTGGTTTCTGTTTGAAACTATACAACCTCTGCTTGTAACTGAACGAGTCTTTACTTGTAACTGAATAAGTATATGCTTGTAACTGTAAAAAAAACTTTGCTTGCAACTATACAGGTTCTGCCCATAACTGAACGAGTTTTGCATGTAACTGTACTGGTCTTTGCTTGTAATCGAGCGAGTAGATATGCTTGTAACTATAAAGGTCTCTGCTTGCAACTCTATACATTCTTGCTTGTAACGAAATAACGTTTTGCTTGTAATCTAATGAGTTTGTGTTTGTAACTCAATGAAACTCTGCTCATAACTGAACTAGTCAACCACTTAATTCCATAGATGGGGGTATGCTTATAACTGAACAGATATATGCTCGTAACTAGATTTTTCTCAGTTGGTGAGCTAAATATTTAATTACAAAAAAAATATATTATTAATCAAACTGTAACCGATAAATGGGGTCACAAATTAGTGACTGTACTAAAAAAATCATTTTCTTTAAGTAGTGACCCCAATAGTAACCGCCTAAAGGGGTCACTAATTAGTGACCCTTTTTTGTAACCGCCAAATTTGGGGTCAGTAATTAGTGACCCATTTGTAACTGCCGTAATGGGGGTCACTAATTAGTGATAGACTGTAAAGGCTCACCCCCCAAATTTGTGACCCTCTTTGTGACCCACCAAGAGAGGGTCACTAATTAGTGACTCATTTTATAACCGCCTTATATTCGGTCACTAATTGCTAACGTTTTGTAACTTATCGTGAAGCGGTCGCTAACTTTGTGACCGATTTCTGACCGTAGTGTCTGCGATCACAAATACGGTCACAAATTGGTTATTATTTTTTTTTCAAATAAGTTAGCCTTAATCGGTCACTACTAGGTTAATAATCGGTCACTAATTAGTGACCTATTATTGCAGTCACTAATAGTGTTTTTTCTAGTAGTAGGAGCTCCAAAGTTTTGACTTTTGTTAGGGGTAGATTGGAGGTTTAAGTTCTTTTAAGACGGTGGTGACCTCTTCTGGAGGCCTTATGCGGACATGGATGCGCCATTTTTGTCTTTCAAGGGGAAGAATGTCCCTTGTTGGCTAGCTTAATAATTTATATTATATTATAATGATTTAAAGATATTATGAAATAAAAAGTCAAGACAAAAAGTTGTATGGTGATAGTGGTGATGACATCTAAAGTGATACAATTCTAGACAATAAGTTTTGGTCTGAAATCTAACTTCTGGATTTTTCTCCAACATTTATATTATTTAAGATAAATCTGGAATTAATTAAGAATTTCTTTATCCTCTTTGGAAAGGGAACAATCTTAAAATATATGTTTGTCATGGTATGGATGTAAATTTATACTAGAATGGTGGGTGCATATGTGGAATTCTTTTTGTTCTTTTTCAATTTATACCGGGGAGAATAGAACACTATGTTAAAAACTATTATCTATTTTATTAGAAATAAAATTGAGATAAATATTTTTAAATCTTATTTTTTAACAGTGAGAGATTGGATAAATAGTAAATAAAAATAAAAAAATTATTTTAATCTAAATACATGTATAAAAAATATATATATATATATATAAAACTAAGTATTATAATATTACAATTATTACCTTCCATAAATATAAGTTAACCCTAATCACCAAGCTTACCAATTGGACTATACGTTTGTTCATAATTTCTTTTACGGGATTAGTTTAGTTACAGGAAACTCTTATTTGGACCGGTAACATTGAATTTAAACCCGATGTTTGACTTGTCAAAAAATAAACCTTTTTTTTTTTTAAATTGAATGCATGGTTGTGCACACGCTGGTCAAGTTGGCAAATTGTTGTGTTTAATCAATTCTTTCCCTTTCTCCATAAACAGTGATTGTCAATTATTCATCATTCTCGGGAGAAATTTCATCTGGGTTGTCAACTTTTGCCCTGCCAGACACGACGTATATCATTGTACCGTATGAGATGTGTCCACCCTTTTGGGGGTATTGGCAAGAAAGTAAAAATAAGAAAGAAAAAAAGCAATACACTTGACAAAGCTTCAATTCTAAGGCAATATGATCTCTGTTTCATATACGAAACCAATGGAAAAGAGAGAGAAAAGGAGAGACCTGCTGTGAGATGATTGTTTCCAAAATCAAATTAAAGCAGGGATATCATACTACCTTTTTTTTCTTCTCTTTTTCTCGAGTCAAAACATGCTTGCTTGCAACAACTTTCTCCTTCTCCAAACAGGCCTCCTAACTTAATCATAAGCCATGATAATAAGTCCTTTTTCCTTTCGGCTACCACTAAGCTACTTTCCTCGCTTTTCCAATTTTTTTTAAACCTTAATTTAGTCAAATTTCCTTGTAAAATGTATCCACAATATTAATATATTGCTAATTAACTCAAGAAAACTTGTCAATTAATGTTGCCTCGACTCGATCATCATGGGTGCCAAGAGCAGTCAGATTTCCTTCATAGGCCTAGTAGTACGTAGTAGAGGAGGGTCACTGGCAAAGAAACCACATTCCGAAAATAACCCTGCAAAATATGTGAAAACTCTAATTTAGTCTAATGGGATTCATGATTAGACATTTAGAATAAAATAAGAACATTTAAATCTTGAAGTTACTTAAAGCTACTTTTTCCTTTTCAAACTGCCTTTTGAAAAAATGGTTCCAATAATATTTGGGCTGGCCGTAAGCAATATGGGTAGACGTTGACATGAAATGTCCGGCACACGTGACTATTGGAAAATGTTTATCTCAAGTAAAATGAAACCATGAAATAACGAGTTTGATTGTTTGTAATGGTTACTGATGAAGGAAATATACGCTAACAAAGAGTGCATGAAACTTTAGAAAGACAAATTTCCCCGAGAAATTGAAGGAAAATTGACTTACCCAGTACTTAGGATGTCAGGATGCAGCCCGTACTCCCTTGCAAAGACAAATGGTACTATCCCTTGGGGAAGAGCTGCCTGAAATTCGTTTTCAAAATTCAATTACCAACACCAAGTTTTCCTATAAGAGTTCAATTAAGTAAATTTTTAATGATCAAGTTTTGATTACTACCTGTACTATAGCCGTGTGCAGTAGATCCCCCTTTAGTCCGACGGCAATGGAGGCAGACGACATGAGTACCGGTCCGGCAAGAAACCGGATCGCCATTGATATGGCTGCCATCTTCGTGCCACAAGCAATTAACCGCGGTTGAAGAGCCATGAACAACCCTAAAATTTAATTTTGAGACTTGTAAGCAATCAAAAATCTGTATCATCCCATGCAGCTGAATTTGTCACACGCGTAAATACCTAGACTGAACATGGCCATCCCAAGACCTGCATCCGAGATGATCTTTATGGAATACTTCACCAAACTAGGAACTCCCACATTCCACCTGCCCAATCCGTGGATATGAAGAATTTAAATCGTACTAATCTGGTTAACATGAGCAATCAATTGAAATTATGAGGTGAAAAACGAAAGAACTAGCAGTAATTGTGTGTGAAACTAATTACTTGAAGGAGATGAGGGACCAGAGAAGACCCAGGACACTTGAATAGGTGTTTGGATTGCGAGAAAGTTTCCTCCCAACCACAACTAATATGAGTTTTAGCATAACGAAACGCATTTGGCATCTCCTGGCTGGATATGTGGCCCTTCCCTTCTCCATCTTCATTCGGTGAAAGCTTTGTGCAGTCTCTGAAACTAAGATCCTTCTCTGCAGATCAATCAATGGATCAAACTCTATCGCAGTAAATTGATCAATGTAATAGCTTAGCACTAATCACTGAAACTAGTTGTTGACTTTTCAAATTTATACATTAAGCTTTCAATTCAAAAATTAGATAACTATGGTTTCTGGGATTTTAATTAACATCACTTTTGAGTAAATAATCCAAATATGGAATACACAAAAGGAAAATCCTCAATTAACTCCTACTTTTCATTAATTCTTTCCCTAGTGTCAACAGCTGTGTTTTCGTTCTATTATTATGAGAAAAAAGAAAAAAATTATTTATGTAGGAAGGGCCCAATGATAAACATCCACCAGAAACAATTGAAACTCATTTCTACTGATCCCCAACATCTGGGGCCACAAGCATGCCAGCTTTGTCCTCCTTTTCCCCCCATTATTTTCATCTCTCTCTCTCTCTCTCTGTGAAAGATATAATAACATGGGATTTAGTGGCCAACAATGGAATAATGATATTACAATCTTGTCTTTACTACGGCACCAAATGGGCAATCAAACATTTCCACTAATCACACGTGCCTTGGATCAATGATGCTACCTATCAATAAAGGGTATATATGGAAATATCAGTGGTACTTTGACCGTCCAATTTCAAATGCAAAACAAATTAATCATGCCTGAAGAGTATTCAATAGATAAAATCATGCCTTGTCTAATTCGTCATCTCCCTTTCTTCTTTTTAATTAATTTTCCCAAATTTTAATAGACAAAGTCAAGTATATATTTGCAAATTGTAAGTATATATATCACAAAAGAAGCTCCAATAATTAGATGAAGCTAGTTGCGGGGGCATATTTGTAAGTTATTACCATAAAGTCATATGCTACTAAGCAAATTCAGAAAAGTAAGTTGTGCCTTTGTCGTTAAAGCAAACCTTAGATGGGTATCCAGGTTTTCAGAAAGTCCGATGTTTCAACTTTTAAGAATTCTTGAACTCTTTTAGACCTAACTGGATATTAAATAGGAAGAGCAGAGCTCTTCTTCTAAGAAAACAAACACCCCCTAATGTTTATATGTCATTGGTTGAGAGTTTGGGTTTCTAAAGAATCCTTTTTTAAAATATGTTTTATTGGAAAAATAAATATGAAAAAATCAGATTTTTTCTCCAACTTAAAGAGATCATCTCTGCCCATTACTCATGAAAGAATTTTTACCCTTTTGCATAGAGACAAACAGTAGTCTCTGTGAATAGTTACCATCTCAGTGTCGCCAGTTATTTCAGTTGTTTACAGCTCAGCCCTGCTTTCGTCTGGCTGCTGCCTTCTCTGAATGAGACCAACTCTTCATGGATTCTCTCTGTAGACATTAGTATACCATCCAACCCCGATAAAAGCTACTATGTCTACGCCTCTTTCATTGTTCCTGATATTACGCTGAGTTCAGTTTCGACCCCTGTTTTGACATCATCAAACGACAACGTTTCCGACACTACTTTGTTTAAAGGAGACAGTGTCAGAATAGACACAGGCCCAACCCAACAGGACACAGTTTGCCCCAACAAGTATCTCTATTCAAATATTTTAGTACTTATTGATAATTTAATTTATGATAAAAATTAAGATACTTCTTATTAAGTGACGGTAAGTTTGGTCTTTTTTTTGCCATATTATGTCATTTTGTACTTGGGTTTTGCAAATAATGAGGCAAGAATGCTAGGAGAGTTTAGAGTACTAATGGAGGAAGTGTGGTAACCTATAGTGCGAGAACGTACCTCCAACAGGGTCTTTGCACCCTTGCCTGTCTCCTCCTCCGGCGTGGCACTTCCCCGGCGATTCCCACACCATCTTCACTCCTGAGAAAGCGGGCGACGGCTGCCGGTAAACCTTCCCGGCTGCTGGGGACATGACCCATACTGGCGTGTTCCCCGTCGTCACGGTAGTCGTGTCCATCTCGTTGAAATTCGAGGCCCTCGGCGTCGGCTGGAGTGAATAGGCGTCGGACGAAGCGTACCCGGAAAGCCGAGGGCTTGCCGGCCGGTACCCAAAAGCAAGCTCTCCGAATGTGACATCAGCATTGGCGTGGTGAAACTCGTGCGGCGGGGCCGGGGTGTTGATGGAGTAGACCTCAGCGCCTGAGAGGTTCGACGCCCGGGGAGTGATTCCGATGGAGGAGGAGAGCGCCGAGTCCGGGACGGACGACGTGGACCGTCTGATGCGGACCCGGATGCGGCCATTGCCGTCAATCTCGGACTCGGTGCACAGAGGGTCCCGGCCGTCGAGCGAGATCACATCGCCATCGACCTCAAATTTGGATATGGCAGCCGCGGCAGATCCCGGGAACTGGGTTTGGATTAGTATGGTTGCTGCTCTGTACTCGAACAGGAATAGCAACAAAGTATACCTTCATGCAACACGATAATGCATATTACAATGTTGTCTTGTAAGAACTCCAGGTCATGTGATGGCAAGCAAAATCATTGTTATTCCCCAATATTAATTTGAAGTAAATTTAATCGTGACTGCTCGTTTATCCTTGTTTGACCGCTTTGGTCTGAGCATTTTACCTCTCTCCTTTATTCTTTTGACTGGGTGACTACAAATTAATCAAGTGATTTCACGTCAAAGTTTACTAAATTACTGTCAATTCTATGACTTTTTGAAGTCGTAATTTAACTTGCTCTTTTAAGAATATTACTTAACACGAAGTGTAAAGAAATTATTGTATGTACGATGGTTATGGACTTTCATAAAACATCATACGGATTACCCTTAATCACGGTACGACTAAATAATTATTTAACACCAACATGTGATATGTGAAGAGCTCTTTAGTGCTTATAACCCCTTATTTTCAAACTTTTCAACTTGCTTTGCCGGGGAAAAAAAAAGGAAAAAAAAGCTTTAGCTGGGTTAAAAGTCAAGTAAAGTTAACCATGAGAGAGAAGCAAAGACAGGGTTTTCAAGTAATATTATTACCAGATAATGCATTGAAGAACAACAAGTTGGACCATGAGGCTCTGGGTGAAGTCCCCATACATTGCTCTGAGCAGAGGAATGCCCATGACAAGCGTGTTAGGCAGAGTAGCAACCGAGAACAGAGTGATGAGCCAGTCCAACCCTCCTTTGAAGATCGCCCAGAGGGACAGCAAAAACAGCACTAGAAGCTTCGAGATAGTGTCGGCAAGTATGAACTTGGTGTTCATCTGGTAAGGGTTGTTCTGGGAGATGAAGTGGAAGGAGAGGACCGGGACGGCGAAGACCGCCACGAATCGATTGATGCCAGAGCACTGCTCCGGCGTGAATATCTTCCACCACTTCACCGACGCGTAAGCGATCAGCATTGCGAAGTAGAGGGGAACCATGGCGCACATAACGTTATAGAAGTCATTTGCTCGTATCATCTTCTACCTCTCTCTCTCTCTCTCGCTCTCTCTCTTTCACCCAGTCTCTCTCTCTCTCTCTCTCTCTCTCTCTTCTCTCTCTCTCTCTCTCTGTGTTGTTTGGCTCAATTTTTGACGAGGGTGAGAACGAAAGGATGGAGAGAAATGGACGAGAATGAACATGCTTATATAGAATCTGTGTGGACAAGAATGCCCCACTTGTAGTTGTTTATTTACTGTGGAAGGATGGTGACTGGCAAGAGGAATTGAGTTAGATGCTCTAGGTTAATTGAGGTTTAGGATCTGGGTTACTCGAGTAATTTGATTTTGCTCTCCTTTGTAAAGAAAATTTTCATTTTCTTCGGCCACGTAACCGACCTAATCATTAAGTTGCTTTACGCAACTAAAATGGTGAAGTTTGATTTAAGGGGTTGTCATTTCCAAGTATTTTATTATTATTAATTCCTTTTTTTAAAATTAAAAATAAAAATAAAATTGAATTCTACTGTATCTGAATGATAGCAATGGTTAGAAAATGTGTAGCTTTCATGATAAAAGGCAATCTTGCTTGAGTGGGTGTGCTTAGAAATGGGTGGAATATCACTCAATTGCTTCATTAGGGCAGTGGGGTTTCTGACACTCAAATCAATGACACCTTATGTAAATGATTCATCCCTAATGGAGAATTGGGCATGAATCCGTGACCGTGTGATTCAATTCCATCAATTTTGTTTAATGGTTCCCCACTTATATCCTTCTTTCTAGTCAGGAAACACAAATTTGGGTTGCAAATCATACGGGCCACACGATTGGTGATGCAATCAAACCCTCCGTCATTTGTTGTGCTGCTTTCCACTGAATTATTCTCAATTATACAATGAAAAGAAAAAAAAAACATCTTACATTTTAATTAGAAAGTTGTAGAATAATAAATTATAACATCCAAAGTAGATGCGGTAAACAGGTAAGATTTAAAACAAATTAGTCAAATTTAAATTTAAATTCAATTAGTCAGTTAAATATTTGAATTCGATTTGAAATCTTATAAGGTTTATATTTATTAATTTATATCTGAATCTGATAAATAATTTGAAATTGAACAAAAATATCTGATCTGATAAAAAAATAATATTATTTCACTTAAATCTCTCAATTTTATTCCATCAATTATATTGATCTCTAAAATTTTTAATTTTTTCAATTTAGTTTTTATAAGTTTGAATTTATTAAAATTATATATTTATATAAAATTATTAATTTAATAAAAAATATTATTTAAATTTTAATATATTGAATTACTTAATTCTATACTTAATCTATTTATCTTGAATTATGATATTTATAATATATTTAATTTATTAAATATTTTAATCAAATTTAAATTTTAAAATTCAATCGAATTCAAACTAAAATACGATTCATTAACAGTACTACTCCAAAGTACCAACCCAAAAAAAAAAACTTAATAAATTAGAGAGTACGTGACATGCCATGGAGAGATGAAAAAAGGGCCATAGGTGTGATAATTCTCAGCTTTTAATCGTGTTTATCTAATAATTATTAATTCTGTTGAAATTAAAATATATTAAAATATTATCATACTTTTCCATTATTAATTTATACAACAAACGAGATAAATTGTATTCAATGTGTAGAATGTATATGACTTGAAAGAAGTAGTCTCTTAAAAGCCATTGATCTTTGAGTACAAATAATTTCCAAGGATGTGCTGATCCTATCACAAAAGTTTTGTAACATCCAAAACTAACAAAAAAAAAAAAAGAGAGAGAGAGAAGAAGAAGAAAAAAGAAAAGAAGAAAAATTCTTAAAAATCACTTTGAGTTGAGTTTTAAATTTATTTAGAGCGAATTTGG